AGGAAGAAGCCACAATGAACTTGGAACGCAGGGTAAAGTAAAACCTTAAATTCCCACTTACTCGGACAAAAATTGGGGTGTTTTCTTCCCCCGAGAAGATACCGACCCTCACTGACACGGACCATCAACAAGGGTGGGTTACAAGTGCATTCAAGCAGAATGCCTTCTACCTGGAAGAATTAAGTAAACAAAGGATAACATTGCGCATGAGGCAGAATCGTGAATATAAAACTGGCATCAAACACATTTTGTTTTGAGATCAGTACTCAACTGCATAATATCTCACTTAGTCAGTCATTTACATGCATGCTCCATTTATCTAGGTGACTGAAAGACTGGCTGCAAAGTTCCTTTTAAGCGTAGCCTGTATGACACTTCCCCTCATGCTGGTTCATTAGCCTACGTTTACGAAGGCACCGGGAGAGTGTATAAATTTCGAAAGGGGGCAGGGGATGATAACAAAAAGAGGTGCTAATAACGACAACATTACCTAGATAATGCCGTCAGTTTTGAAATCTAAATGGGACCATATTTTTGAAATGCTATTGATCAACATTAAACATGACTCGCTGTTGCAAATTTGTCGGCATTCTCGAAGTAGACATAGTTTGGGGAACAGGATAGCGGTGACTCGCCAAAATGCAGTGTGAAGGGTAAGCTTTTGATTGGGGGGGTGATAAACGGTAGACCACCAGGGTGCGGTTGGCTTGTGTGTACGCCTAAGCAATTGTGTGGCGGCTTGGTTGGCAACTGAAAGAATTGATATGTGCTAGGACTCTCTTTCGCTTTTTGGTGCGTTCTCCATGGTTCAAGCGTTCTGCCACGAAGAACAGCTCTCGAGTCAAATCCGCAGAAATACCGAAAGTACTTATTGTTTTTGGCATGCTCGTGGCAGCTTTTTAAGTTCAGATGTGAGTCATCTGGCTAATAGTCTTAAGTAGTCGGTAAGTGTTCTCATCAATTGTGACAGTATATTACACTACACTATGTGATCAGTCTCGTGAAATGTTGGTAAAGATGACTTATATACCCCCAAAACAGGAATAGAGACGACCTAATAAAGGTGGTCCTAAGCAAAATCCCAGGATATATCTGCTTGTATCTGCTATGCCTGCGATCATGGCTGATCTAGCTGAGCTCGATTATGCGGCGGATGATACATTTCTACGGGTGACGATCCGTGGCAACAAAGCTGGACAGAAGAAGAAGATGCAACCACTGGAACAGTAGTTTTATATTCCTGACGCTTCGGACACCGTCGGTTATCCTTAATCATAGGTAATGGTAGGGTAGTCTGAGTAATGTGCAGATAGGAGTATATGCACGGTATTCATATTTCGTAGCTGTCATCCGCGTGCGTACTATAACTATCCCCCGCTGTAGCCACCTTTTGGGTCTTAATTCGTGCGGTGACGACTTGACACTTCGT